GAGTATAACCAATTATTTGCAGGAACGGAACACACAGTACAGGAACTGGAACAAGACAGATTTTAAAAATAAAGTTCAGTATGGCATTTTCCATGTTCTTAGATGAAAATACAAAATGAGATCAAGAAAGATTACAATAAATTTTTGATAGGCTGATACAGGATTAGCAAGGCTAGAGATAATTACAAAGCAGCTCCCAACTCTTGAGGCAACTAGGATCCTTGTATTACACTAAGGCATCCAGACATTCAAAAACTTTCTTAAATGAAGGTGAATTAAGTCAAACACACTGTAAAATTTTTACTTTATGTAAAACAGTGTATCAACAACTTGAGGGAGGGCATCAAGGTATAGGAAAGTCTAAGGAGACATCACTAAATTGAAGACATTTCTAAGATGATGAGTTCATAGGGTAAAGCAACAAGTGGTAAGAGCCAGAACAGCAGAGGAGTGTGCTATTCGGACACAAGTGAGGAAGTCGGAGAACAAGCTACTTTTTTTCTTTTTAAGCTGGGCCTGTCACAGGTTAATTATCAGACTACCTACAAATACTTTATAGTTTGTATGTATAGTTTGTATGCTACCTACAAATACTTTATAGTTTGTATGGTTCTGTGGTTAGGGCCTTACCCAGACACAAAGCAGCAGGTAAAGGGAATGGCATTTGGCCACACATTCTCAGTTACCGTCACTGAATACATTTCTCTGAAGGCAGAGGACACCCAACAACTTTGTTACCCCTGAAAAGAATGCAGTTGAAGGTACACACATAATTTTCTCCTGTTTCAGTTTTCAGATGTCCTCTATCTTTGTAATAATGCTCTTGGTTTGGCTAAGGAGAGGCTGGGTAAAAGAAATGGAAATGTAACAGATGAACAGAAGAAAGAACGGCTTCAGACCCAGCTTTTTTTCCTGTCAGCAAACAGTTTTACCTTTCCCACTGAATCAGCAAGAAAAGAATAGCTCTAAAAACCACATAAAGAGGTGCTTTTCTTTTTTATAACAGAGAGAGTGTCACATGGCTGGCTCATGCAAGTCTTTGTTGCCCTGGGCTACAGATGCACTGTTACTAAGGCCCCTGCCTGGCACTGGGAGAAGCCTCCCCCTCTAACCCTTTGAGGGTCACTATAATAGGATTTTGACTATAAGCAACTAAAAAAATGGAGGCCAGTTTACAAAAGGGAATATTTTAGCCCTTTAAGTGTGATTGCTAATGTTTCAAATTCTACAGATTTATCTGTTTCTGAAGTTCAGCTACTATGCTAAAACTTTTAAGTTGGTTGAACAAAGCTTCAGAACAGGTTGAGTTTAATGGTACCTAAGCCTGATAATGCCAAAATAAACCACTTAATATTCTCAGTCCATTCATGTTTATACAGACAATATACCTAATAACAAAATAAATATATGTGCAATGCAGAAAAAGATAGTCTAGGAACCAACTCAAAGATGATCACTGGGAACAGATGGGTGAACCCCCTTTCCAGGAGCACAGTATTAGAAGGGTGGGTGTGTGACGTACCTTACACACTTGAGCACATATAGCTGGGCACAACTGGTGTGGACAAACTCTTTAATCTCGCTGAACCTCAGTTTTTTTCTCATCTGTAAAATGTAGATAACAGTTCCTATCTCATGAGGCAAAATATGCATAATGCTAGGACAGAGTTTAGCACATACTAAGTGTACAAGCAGTGTTTCTTTCTAAACAAATAGTTACACACTCATTTCTTCCCCATTAAATGGTTTCATATCATAAAAATGCTATTTCATAGCCTGCTTTGATCACTTGGAAATGGGTTGCAAACATTTCCCTGTGTTAGTAAATATCTTTTCACTATGTACACAGGAGCCTCGGGAAAGCTGCTGCAGACAGTACCTAAGCACAGATTGCTATGCTTTCATAGCACATGAACTTGCCATTCCAGCATAGCTAGAGGAGTAAGAAATCAGCAACTGGGCAAAGGTATGGCAGACAACTTCAAAATGGCCAGAAGCCGACGATGTGACCTGGCAGCTCTGCCTAAATGTCATAACTAGGCGATACCAATCAGATCCTCTCTTAGGAAGGCTGAAAGTGAGATACACAGTCAGCTGACAGGTTGAGTGGTGCACAGGGAGGAGAAATGCAAAACAAAAAGTGGTAAGCAGAAGCCAGGAGGCTAAGAAGAGGTTAGAAAGGCAGCTCCTCCACAATGGAAGGGAGGGACTGGGCCACGGGTGCAGACCAGGCTGCTTGAGCTACATGGCATTCCCACTCGTCCACCCACTGTGAGCAAGGCCTGCCTGTACACTGACTCAAGTTTTCATTACTGCACAGCCTGGCTGGGCAGCTGCTGTGACACTGTCATATTCTTCCTCATTTAACTGAAGGACCTATAGATACATTTACTCCTAACAAAATGAATGTACATGTATGTGGCTGCTCTAGTGGTCACGTCAATAACAGTAATAACTGTAAAACACAAAAATGTATTTTCTTAAGCCCTGGGGGTTCAACAGGGAACAAGAGAGAATGGCACTTGACTATACAGTGTACAGTCTAGCACAAAAGACAAGACAAGGGTCTATGGACCCTTCTTCATCCTGTCAATATACTGGAATAAACTAAAATATATGGTATGACTCTCTGACTGAAGGAGAAAATTTTGCTCAAAGTCAGACAGGACTCTTCAGGACTGAGAATGGCAGGCAGAGTTCAATTTCAAGCTCACACCCTGGCCGGTTTGGCTCAGCAGTTAGAGTGTCAGCCTGAGAACCAAAGGTTGTGGATTCAAGGGCACATACCTGGGTTGCAGGTTTGATCCCCAGCCCTGGTCGGGATTGCACAGGAGGCAACCAATCGATGTATTTCTCTCAAGTCGATGTTTCTCTTTCTCCCTCCCTCCTTTCCACTCTATCTAAAAATCAGTGAAAAAATATCCTCGGGTAAGGCTTAACCAAAAAAAATAAATAATTTCAAGCTCAGGATTCCCTTCAAGACAGGAGGTAGGTCAGATACTGAACATATGAGAAGTATGGTTTAGCCCTGGCCTGTTTTTCTCAGTGGTTAGAGCACTAGCCCACAGACCAGAGAGTCCCGAGTTTGGTTCCCACAAAGGGCATGTACTTCGGTTGCAGTTTGTCCCCGGCCCCGGTTGGGGTCATGTGGGTGGCAACCATTCAATGTGTCTCTCTCTCACATCAATGTTTCTCTCTTTCTCTCTTCTTCCCTCTCCCCCTCCTGCTCTATCTGAAGATAAATGCAAAAAAGTCCTTGGGTAAGGATAAAAAAAAAGAAAAAGTATGGTTTAATTATCTGTTTTAGATCATTCACCTTCTCATGCACCAAGCACTCTTTTCTTACTTCACTGTATTTTCCCTTTTACCTGCTGAAGGATGGGGCATAATTTCCAGGAAACAAAGGGTAAGCACGGTGGCCTATATCTTGTCCTACTCCCTCACTGTATTTCCTATGGCAATCAACTAGTTTTCTACATCTTAGCTGCACTTGCATTACCCAGGGGACAGTTCAGCTATAAGACTCAAAAGCAAAATAAGAACAGTAACAACAACTAATATAAGCTTTCCTGAGACATGGCCAAATTCAAGTGTCCTCAACAAAGGTAGAGCTGTCCAAGTTCCCCTCACAACTCCTAAAACCAAGTAGCAAGTTTTGCACAAGGTCTCTAAACTTTTTTCCTTTCTCTCAATTCTAGAACCATCATTGTATTTCAGCTCTTCCAACAACCTTTCTGAATCCACAACTGCCACAGTAACTCTGTGTGTCTAACATAATTTTGCCTTAGGTGCCTTAGAACCTACAGGAGCCAAATGGATTTAAATCAAAAGGATGCGGTTGAGTCTACCAAATGCTCTACCACACTCTGGGATCCTCCAAACAGAACGCTGATAATTTCCATTTAGGACATTCCTATCTGTGTACTAGGCACAGGAAGAGAGGACTTAAAACAGTAAACAACATCTTTGTCCTTTCAGATTACAATCTAGTTATAGATACCAGTTATATGATAAAATAAGTGATACAAAAATTCCTTGAGCATTCCAAGGGTAAGATTAGCCTAAGGGGATTTCAGCAAGTCCTGGACCCAAAAGAAATGTAGAATTTAGACCAGTTCTAAGTGCTATTTTATATGTTCTTAGAATCAGCCTTACATCCTCTCTGGAACAAGGAAATGAATCTAAAAACACTATCTATGTGGTAAGGGGAAGTAAATGGGCGTGATGAAACTTACACTACCAATTAGGAGTCCTAAATGAGGTAACATAAGCAGAGCAGAGCATGGTGTTGCCACAAGAGGCTATGGAGAAACACTGGTTCCTTCCTCCTGGTTTTGAATTGCAATCTCTTTCTTAGTTTCTCCAACCTAACGGTAAGCTTTTAAAGTAAGGGAATAAGGGTCTGACTTTACTTCTCCTGACTGTTTATTCTAGAGTATCCAGTTAGATATACTGGGCATGGCTCAGAAACTCAACACATATACGTTGAATATCATGTGACTAAATTTTTTTAAAAAAGTATTATTTCTCAAGCTGCACAATGAACAACTTCTGACTAACAGAACTGCTGCTTTAGCCACAGCTCTACAGCCAGGACCCAGGAAACACAGAACAAGGGCCACCACCTCCAAAGTTAATGAGAATGAGCCATTTATACCAAGACTGCCTGTTCTTATTTCTTAGGGCTGATGAACTATTTGATTCCTGATTCTCTGTCACAGGTAGGAGACACAGTGTTGGAAGAGACCCATGGGAAATCATGGGGCTGCGTGGTATAAGATACAGTCACTAGCATGAGTCCGCTCCGTGTAGCGTGGTGCCTGATGAACATTACCATGTCACAGCCTGACTGCCTCGTTAATCAAGGAGGCATGTGGTAACTGTCAAATGCCTTCTTTCTATGATCATGAGATGTTGATCAGCGAGTGGTGATGGAAGAACTACACAGACAGGACGGGCTCACGATTACAGGGCATGGTGTGCCTTTTCTCAGGGCATACCTCCTCGCAGACTTCACGGGCTGCGGCCACACTCGGCTCCTCCTCGGGCTCCATGCCTCCTCCAGGGACAATCCATCGGTCTGGATGGCGACTACTGCTCACGAGTAGCACCTAGAAATCCCAGGTCACATGAGTGGTTAAAAACTCAAAAGATACATTTACACAAATTCAGTTTAAACACCACAAAAGTAAAAGTACCTATGACCCCTTTGTTTATACCTCTTCAAATTGCTTCTTGTAAAGTGGCTTTCATTTCTGTTTGAAAAAGTAGACCATCTGCCTGGTAACAGCAGAAGGACTTCTAAACCAACGGCCATTACCTCTGCTTTCCCCTCAGATTCTGTCGCTTGTCCTAGATATCCCCGCCTTCACTCCTTTCTCTAAAGCCCTCTGAATGCAGAGCTGACAAAAAATAAAAAGAGATTGTCCATGAAGAGCTTGTGAGAGCAGTTGAGGGCTGGCCAGAAGGAAAGTCCTTAACACAGTCCCAACACTTTCCCTCCTGTGTGTCCTAGCTCTTACTCCATCAGATGGCCACAGGCCCACACAACATGCCACCCTAGGCTCTAAGTATGCACTGAGAACCTAATTCTCTCATTACACGAGGAGTAAATTATTTCTTTTCATCATGCTTTCGGCTGAGATAAAATTGGTATTTTTTTTCTAGGAAATTTTACTAAAAAGTGAAAAGAAAAGCAAACGCAAAAAATACTGATACAGAATACAGTTTACTAATTCAAATATAACCAGCATTTCAGTCACGGCTGAAATAAAATCTGGAATGTCCCTAGTCCCTCTTCTTTACCCCTCTCTAAGACAGAGGCTAAACAAAGTCAGCTGTACTCATTTGGGAGTAGAGGTGGGTTGGCATTATTTCCAAAACGAAAGGAATCCTCAACTGTTCCTTAAACCATCGCTTTCTGATGATGTCTTCTGAGCCTCCATCCTTATCCCAAACTATATTCCTTACCTTATCCATTCACCCCAATCCACCCCCACCCCACGTTTAACTTCTACTCTCCAGTCATCTTTGTTGCCTGAAAGAAAATATTACTTCCTCTCTAGCCCTTACAGATTCCACCACTGACATCTGGCTATCTACCTTCCAGTCATTTCCTCTCTCTCCCTTGATGTCTCTGCAACTATGAGCCCTTGGAAATTCTACCCTTTTCTTCACCCTTAATCCCTTTACTTCCTATCATCATAGATATTCCTGATGTTCCTCTACAAAATCGGTGATCTGCAAGCCCAGAGAGGACCAAAGAGTTACAAGAAGTAAATCCATGAATCCATATATAGTCACCAATATACAGCCCATGGACTGAGAAAATGTGTTATACTTACAAGTACTATTTTTTAACTATATGTAAGTTCTATCCTGGCTGGTTTTGCTCAGTGGTTAGAGTGTTGGCCTGTGGTCCAGAGAGACCCGGGTTCAGTTCCTCCTGAGGGCATGTGCCTTGGTTGCAGTTTGTCCCCGGTCCTGGTTGGGTCGTGCAGGTGGCAGCCACTCGATGTGTCCCTTTCACGTCAATATTTCTCTCTCTCTCTCTCCCTCTCTCCCTCCCACTCTGTCTGAACAAAAAATGGAAAAATGTCCTCGGGTGAGGATAAAAAAACAAACCTGTATGTAAGTTCTGCTTTCATTAATACAATGCAAAATAATTTAAAATATACAATCCACAGTTTTTGGTTGGTATGTATATATATTTAACCAAGGGATATTAAAAGTACAATATGGAGGTTTCACAAATTTTTTTTATTTTTTATTTTATTATTACTTTTTTTAGGGTAGGCAGAGCCAGCTGAGACTTTATTTGGGGGAAAAACACTTGATTTGGCTTTTTAGTTGGGGGCATGGGTAAGAGGCGGTCCCCCAGGCAGTAAACTCCCCCACCCCAAGGGAGAGCGGAGGACTGGGACTGAGCCTCAGGCAGGCGCCAATTCCCTGCACAGCCCCTTTCCCACAGGCTAGGAGAACAGAAGGGACCACAATAGTCATTCAGTGGGCAGGACATCCAATGACTCAAATACCAGCTTCCCATCCCAGGTCTCAATCTTCTTCACAACTACAGTCTTGGAGGAGCTGGTGCGATGTAAGAGCCAGGGCCCCTGCCAGAACTCCCACCAGAGCCCAAGTTGGCCTGGAAGCCAAGGCCATAGTTGAGGTTCCGTAAGCCAGGCTCAGCCCACCTGAGTTGTCACTGGTGGTCTTGGTATGGATAGTCATGTTCTGCATCCCAGATTCCATCTTGCCCTCCAGCAGCTTGGGGTAAATGGCAATCTCCATGCCTAGGGCCAGTTTGACATTCATATATATGTTCCTGGTTCTTGGAGTAGCTTCCAGCTCAGGCGCCTTGGCCTAAACATCCTTGATGGCCAACTCCCCAAGCTGTTCAGCATCAGTGACGGTGACCTTCTGAGAAGCCCTCTGGCTTTTGATGTCCTCAATCTCAGCCTGGAGTTGGCTGATGTTCCAGTTCATCTCAGAAATCTCAGACTTTGTGTGATACACGTCATCCCTGTGCTTCCTAGCTAAGTCCAAAGCTCCTCATACTTGATCTGGTATGTGGTCTCAGCCTTGGCCTGGATGCAGTTGGCGATTCCTTGTACTGGGCCTTGACAATGATGCCATCCAGGTCCAGGGAGTTAGTTGTTGTCCATGGACAACACCACAGACATGTTGAAGATCTGGGCCTGCAGCTCATGAATCTGTTCCTCATACAGCTGCCTGCAGAAGTTGACCTCATCAGTCAGCCCTTCCACGTGAGACTCCAGCTCTACCTTATTCATGTTAGCTTCATCTACATCCTTCTTTTTAAAAAAATATTTTATCTTTATTGTTGAATGTATTACAGATGTTCCTCATTTTTTCCCCCATTGATGCCCTCCTCCCCACTCCTGCCCCACTTCTGCCTTTTCCCCCACTGTTGTCTGTGTCCATTGGTTATGCATATATGCATATAAGTTCTTTGGTTTATTTCTTCCCACCCCCAACCCCCCTTCCCTTTGAGGTTTGTGAGTCTAGCAATGAATTTGTACTTCTTAATCCCTTCACCTTTTTCACCCATTCCCCCAAGCCCCCTCCCATCTGGCAACCAACAAAATGTTCTCTGTATCTATGAGAATGTTTCTGTTCTGCCTGTTCATTTTGTTTGTAGATTCAATTGTTGATTGATATGTATTCATTGCCATTTTGTTTGTTCATACTTATTTATTTTTATCCTCACCTGAGGACATTTTTTCCATTTTTTGTTCAGATAGAGTGGGAGAGAGAGCGAGCGAGAGAGAGACATCGATGTAAAAGGGACACATCGAGTAGTTGCCACCCGCATGACCCCAACCAGGACCGGGGACAAACTGCAACCGAGGTACGTGCCCTTTGTGAGAACTGAACCCGGGTTTCTCTGGACCACAGACTGACACTCTAACCGCTGAGCCAAACCAGCCAGGGCTGTTTGTTCATATTTTTTATCTTTTTCTTCAAAAAGACCCTTCATCATTTCATATAATAATAGTTTGGTAGTGGTGAACTCCTTCCTTTAGCTTTTCCTTGTCTGGGAAACCCTTTATATGGCCATCGATTCTAAATGACAGCTTTGCAGGACAGAGTAATCTTGGTTGTAGGTTCTTGCTTTACATCACTCTGAATATTTCTTGCCACTCCCTTCTGGCCTGCAAAGTTTCTATTGAGAAATCAGCTGAGTCTTATGGGAACTCCCTTGTAGGTAACTAATTGCTTTTCTCTTGCTGCTTTTAAGATTCTCTCTTTGTCTTGAACCTTTTGCATTTTGATGATATGTGTCTTGGTGTCGGCCTCCTGGGATTCATCTTGTTTGGGACTCTCTGTGCTTCCTGGACTTGTATGTCTGTTTCCTTCACCAAGTTAGGGAAGTTTTCTGCCATTATTGTTTCAAATAGGTTTTCGATTTCTTGTTCTCTCTTCTCCTTCCGGCACCCCCAAGATGTGACTGTTGGCACACTTGAAGTTGTCCCAGAGGCTCCTTACACTATCCTCATTTTTTTGGATTCTTTTTTCATTTTGCTGTCCTGATTGGGTGTTTTTTTGCTTCCTTATATTCCAAATCGATGGCTTGCTTCTTGGCTTTACCTACTTTACTATTGAATCTGTGTAAATTATTCTTTATTTCAGTTAGTGCCTCCTTCATTTCTGACTGGTCCTTTTTAATGCTCTTGAGGCCCTCACTAAGTTTGCTGAGGTTCTCACTAAGTTCATTGAGCATCCTTATAAGCACTATTTTGAACTCAGCATCTGTTAGGTTGCTTATCTTCATTTTGCTTAGTTCTTTTCCTGGGGTTTTGTTCTGTTTTTTTCATTTGGGACCTGTTTGTCTCCTCATTTTGGCTGCCTCCCTGTGTTTGCTTCTATGTATTGCTTAATGAGAGGTATGGGGCTAGCTGAGACCAGATGCTGCTTGTTTGAAAGAAATTAGGAAAACCTGAAGCAGGACCCAAGACAGGCCAATCCAGTTAAGCAACTGGCAACAGCTTGGATGGGCCTGAAAGTTGGGTAGGGCGGGGCCTCAGGAAATCACAAGGGCGGGGCAACCAGTGTGAGCCAGGTTGTTGGAGTCCCAGATATGGCAGCTGTCTGTCGCGCCAGGGAAGGGCTCACCAAAGGAACAAAGGCCTCTGACAGCACGTTTGTCCCGAAGAAAGCCCCCTCTCCAGCCCTTGCTCCAATGCCAAACAGCTCAGTACTTCCCTGTATGTCTCTGGTGCCCCTTGAGCTGCCTCCCTTCCATGCTTAGAGGGAGTGAGTCCGTGCACGGGCCCTTTAAGAGGAGCTGCCTGGGGCTCCAGCGGCCTCAGCCTCTCTGAGCCTCAGTTCCCGCTGGTTTTTCCAGCCAGAAGTTATGGGGACTTCTCTTCCTGGCACTGGAACCCTGAGCAGGGCACCTGGTGTGAGACGGGGACCACTCAGTCCTCAGGGAGGACCTTCCCAGCTGAGGTGTCCTCCTGATTTTTATCCGCCACACGTGGGTGTGGGACCAGCCTGTCTGCCTCTGCCCCTCCTACCAGTCTTGATGTGACTGGTTCTTTAATTTCGTAGTTGTAGGACTTCCATTCAGCTTGATTTCAGGCGGTTC